AAACATTCCCCATGTTTTCTTTGCATGTTTCCTATGAGATTCTGAGGCCTGTGATGACAGGGATCATGTTTTATCTGTTGCGGTAGTCGCATAGTGTGTGAGAACTTCTATTTGCTCAGAAATGTTAGTTGAATGAACATACGTTAAAGCCAACGCAAATTTAGAAAGAACTTACCGTGTGCAAGACACTGTGTTAAGCCTAGAGATCACAAAATTCTATTTCTTGCCCTAAGGGAACCTGCACTCTAGTGAGAAAGATACACAAAGAATAATAGATAAAAAACAATCCTTGAAGATTTCATTTCACTTAATTTTATATGTCACTTGGAGAAGGTTATCAGTGTTCCTAGGGCTTAATTGGTGCAAACCATGCATTTGCTTGCCAGTAGCATCTTTATTTCTCTGAAAACAAACATAGTTAAGATAGAAAACAGGTATGTGGTCGTTAAAATATGTTGAAATTGGAACTTTTAATGTTTGGTAATATGTGTCTTTATTTCCTTCACCAACAGGAGAACAAATATGTTGTTTCAGAGCAAACACTCATGGCCCCCACCAAGAAAGCACAGAATCACTCTATTTCATGTTTGCCCATCAAATACAGGCAGACTAACAGTTGGAAGGGCCAATATTCCTCTGTCTATTGTGGTATCAATCATTCACCACCCTGATCTCTGGCATCAGCAATCTTTCCTTTTCTCACTCTTTTTATTTTCTTGAGTTCTAAACTTCATGTCACTTTTAGAGAACGTTTTGATGAGTTTGGTACAATTTTTGAAGTCGTATAGCAATCTGAGATGCCAGAGGTGAAGTTTTCCGTTAGGAGTCACTGTATCAACGTGATAATTCAGAGCTCTCCATTTCAACCCGTGTTCAACAACTCTCCCTGTCAAAGCCATGTGATATTGTGTGAAAAAAAAAATTCTGAATTTATCTTTCCTTAAATAGTCACTTGAGTCTTCATTTTTCTTATCTTTTAATAAAACTTTGTGCTTTATTTTGTAGTACTGTGACAAAATTATTGGAACCTACTTTGAGCAGTGTGGGAAGGTTAGCGCTTTATCCAATGACTACAGAATGATCTGCATCAGCGAGTATTGTCAAAATAGAGACAAAAAATCCACGTGTGACACTTATTCAGAGCTGTCCCGCCTCTGTGCTTCAGATGGTCCTGGCAGCTATGAATCCTGGAGAGATGATTCCGATGTGGTTTGTGGTAGGTTTTCGACGTATTACAGATTCCAAATCAGGACATCTCCACAGTGCTCTAAAGTTGAGCCATGTTTCAAAGTAATCTTCTCAAATGCCTGTTGCCCTGGAAGGAAACTTAGAGGTGATAGTCTTGTCTCTGACGTGTACTTATGAGGAAACTGAGGTTCATTTTGTGGCGTGACTTGCCACAAGTCCTTTGTGTTAAGATCTTAATTAGGGACTTTATACCCTATAATCAGTAAAACTCACTGGGAAAAATGAATAATTCTGTAAAATGGTAAAAACTCTATAAAAATAGCTGAACAAGTTATCAAAAGTATGTTGATCAGTAATTACTTCCGTTCTAAAAACTAAAAAACATAAATGAGTTTCATACAGATATAAATATAGTTTCCATGTATACTTAACACAATCTTTGTAAGTTAAAACACAAGGAGAATATCAATTTCAAAGTAAAATAAAATGATTTTATATAATATACATTTCCTCTAAATTAATACTGTATCTTAAGATAATGTGGTGCATAGGAAATTGGCATAACTTAGTTACTGAGTATCTTAAAAAACTGACCTGTATCTTGAAAATTTCTCAAGGAATCCCATTTGAAAAGATCCCCATTAGAATATCATGTATGTATCACATTTATTTTCCTCTATTTTCCATGTATATGCATTTGTGTATTTCTCCAGAAAAACCGACATGCCCAGAAAACCATATCTACAAAGAATGTGGTCCCTCAAATCCTGCAACTTGTTCTAATGTGGCTCCTTTTCAAGACATTGAATGTGTGAGTGGCTGCACCTGTCTAGAAGGTAATAGTATTTATACTAAAACAGTTGAAAATAAAGTGCCTCAGTTATAGTGGGACTCTTGTTTCTAACAAGATATTTAATGAATAAATTATTATCTATTCATAATCCATCCGTCTAGAAAACTGCAGGGGAGGGGAAGAGAGACTTTTCATGTTAATGTGCATTTGTATCTCTACAATATCTGAGGGCCATGGTCCTACACAGATGATCCACTAGTCCTATATTGGGCTCAACAGGACTGCTCCGTGGCTCAGACAATTATCTCCACTCTTGCCAGTTCTTGCTTAAATAGAAATCATCATTTTAAGTACATGTTTACACTTGAAAGGACGATCTCAGAAGTCATTTCACAATCCATTGCTTGAGAATTGACTGAGCTTTGTATAGCTTTGAGATTAATCTTATATGATGTATTCCAGGCTATCTATTGGATGACATTGGAGAGAAAGGGAAATGTGTACTGAAGGCCGACTGTCCCTGTGAATCTAATGGAAAAGTGTATCAGGCAGGAGAAGTCCGTGAAGGTCCTTGTGGTTCGGAGTGGTATGTGTGTGCTTTCTGTCTGCATTTTACTGATAGTGACATCACACAAATATTTTAATGTAACTTAAAATAATTCTTAAATCCACACTTAAAAGAAACGTTTCAGAAGCAAAAAGCAACCTCATTGCATTTTCTGTGTTGGTACGCTTTCTTATTTGAGGAAAGTTTAGTGTGTTTTATGTAAAGTAGATGAGTTTCTGTGTATCTTTAAAAGATAATATTTTTCACTAACTGAAATATCATTTTGAATAGTAAACCAAATTGGTGGTTGCAAAGAATAATACCAAAGTATGGTTATAATAATAAAACAATAATTATGCTAATTGCCAAGAATATTTAAAAATATTCAATTAGAAACAACCCAACACTTCTCAAATAATTTTACATGTGGCTACACTGGTGAAGATACAGTTAATCCTGAGTGGATTTTAATGTGCTGAAAGTTAGTGTAGATTATTTCTCTTTTAGTTAAATAGCTTGATTATTCATTCTGAATTCAGGAACAATGTGCTGACCAAAGAGATTTCTTTATTTCTCAGTATGACTTTTCTCTGAAACTTCAAATTTCTGCAAGATTCCAAAGGACTTTCTAGAAATGTACTGTTTCCTTGTGGGGAAATAATCTGACTCAGTGAAAACTAATATATTATTTATACTGTAATATTTTCTTGATAAATAGGCAGTGTTCCATTAGTCTGGTAATAATATATTAATAACAATTATGAATAACAAGAGCTGTGGTTTATTGAATGTGGATAGCAGTGCTGTCTAAGAGAAATATGATGTGAGCCACAAATACAACACACATAAATAATTTAACAGTTTTTAGTGGGTGCATTTTTAAAAAGCAAAAAAGAAACTAAGTGGAATTAAGTATAACCATGTATTTTACATATCCAAAACACTATCATTTCAACATGAAATTAGTATAAAACACAGAGAGATTTTTTACAACCTTTTTTCGTATTAACTCTTAGAAGTCTGTGTGTGTTTTACATTTACAGCAGGTCTCAATCTAGACTGGACTGACTAGCCACATGTCACGTTATCAGTAGCCATATGTCTCTATACTATATTGGGCAATGCAGGTCTACAACGTGACATGTAGCAGGTGTTTTAACAGTAATAGTGAAATGTGTTCCACTCAAACAACCCTCTGAAATTCAGTTTACAAGTTTTTATATGTTTAATGCAGGCAGAAATTATTATTTAAGTCGATAGAATTAGAATCTTTTAAAATATGAGGATACCATTGTCAATGAGACATTTTATCAGAGCTGAGATGTTCAGTGGGGAATGAAGATGGTCTAATAAAGCTTGACTAGATGTCTTAGGTTAAGCTGTAGTTTTTAAAATGTTGTGTTATTTATTTTCATCATAGAGAAAACACAATCGATGACCTTTAACATAACCATTGCATTTTAACAGCACGTGCCAAGAAGCAAAGTGGTCCTGCACTGAACTGTTATGTCCTGGAAGATGTAAGGTGGAAGGAAGCTTGATTACGACTTTTGATGGTGTTAAATACAACCATCCTGGAAACTGTCACTATCTGGCTATCCACGTATGTAATAGTCTAGAACACCAAAATATTTTTCAATCAGCTTAGAACACTATCTTCTACTTAATTTACTATTTTAAAAAAATAGCAGACAGCTCTTCAATTATTGGTTATATATTTCAGTATCTGTTTCCTGTCACATATTGACAGTGACAATCAGTATTACCTGCACTCCCTAGAAGTTCCTTGCTAAACAAAAGCAATCTAAATCCCTTTATAACTAGTATTTTTCTGAATACACTGGAAAAATATTTCCTTTTTCTACTTTTTTTGCATGTGCTCACTCATGCCGCAAGTGAAACTATCTTTTACTTTCCACATGGCATCTTCCTCTTTCCTTATTACTCTTTTACATTTAATTTTAGTTTTTATAATACAATATCACCATTATGATAGAGGCTGTCCTTACATTTAAACTCTTTTCAGTGCTAACATTTTAATCTACATTTCAGTAAGAGGAGGATTCCATTTTGTAGCTTGT